GTCCGGCGGGGGAACCGGGAAGGTCAGGGGTGGCATCGTATCCGGGCCGAAGGAGGGGGACTCCGCCGGCGGGGGCGGAAGGGGCGGGCCGTTTCCCCACGGCGCCCGCTTCGCAGCCGCGGCGGAAGGAAAGAGCGGATGGACCGGGGAGCGCGGCGGCTCCGGCCCGGAACGGCGTGGCCGCTTCGCCACGTTCAGCGCGGGGTGTCGCCACGGCGCGTGCTGCACGTTGAAGCCGGAGAGCATCATAATCGGGAGGTTGCCCATGGGGTTCGTGTTCGAGGCGGGGCGCTTCATGGAGGCCATGAAGTCCTGATGCAGGGGCACGTCCATGAAGAGCTCATGCGGGTTGGCGACGTCGGGGATGTCGTCCTCGAAGAGGTAACCCTCCGCCTCGCTCCGGAGCTGCTGAGGGTTGTGCTCCTCGACGACGTCCTCGGTGTTGATCCCACTCAACCCGGCATGCGTGGGCTTGTAGCCCGATTTCGCGGTGCCCGCCTCCAGTAGCGCCCGAAGTCGGAGACGAAACTCCCGCACAAACTGCAGCATGGGGATGTTGGAAAGGGGGAAACGCATAAAAAAGGGCAACATGGGGATGTACTGAGGATGGATACGAGCCTCGATACATTGCTGGACGTACATATGCGCCGCAAGAATGACAATGTTGCCTAGGATTTGATCCCCAAGGTCCTTGTCGACGAACATGGTGCCCTTGAGGAGGTGCTGCCCGACTTCAACCCCATCGTCGGAATCGTCGTCGGAGTTCGGATGGCCTTCTTTTCGAGGTACGGCACGGTAGTAACGCCGCGACGGTTGCTTCCCTGGCGACAAGGCCGACGGCTCGGAGGGGGAATCGTCCCCCGCGCCGAGGTTCGGGTCCATCGCCGCCTCCGGGGGCTCACTGGAGACCGTCTGGTAGCGCATCGGAACGGTGGCCGGGAAAAGCCCGAACATGCCCATGATTTTCACGTAAAACCCCTCGAACATTACACAGAACGGGTCGTCCGGGGAGGGAGGCCGCTTTTCGACGTAGCGCGATGCGATTGCACAGGGAATGGGATGAATGTAGTACGCCGAGGGCGAAGTGACGTGTTTGACGTATTTACACGGACAGGAATGCTCAGTGAACAGCGAGGCTCTCTTTAATATGTCATGGCGCACGCCACCATACGACTTGGTGTCGCCAGCCCCAAAAGTGTCGCCTCCACTCGGAAAGTTGTGGTCAACTGCGCGGTAGCAGGTATGCCTGTGCTTCCCTTTCATATACCGTTTGGCCGCGGCGTAGCCAGCAATAAACGCATCAAACGAAATGTTCTCAATGCCGGATAACGACACATTTGGCACGATTGGAGGAACCGATGCGGGAGACTCTGAGTCAAAATGTCTTTCCTGAGGTGGCATCGGAAATCCGGAGGGGCCCAAATCCTGGGGATGCAAGCCCCTCTGAATGTAAGAATGAGGTGATTGAAGCTGTGGTGAGTGATACTCTGCCGCATTGGTGGGAGGAACATTATGTGATGGTTTAGCCGCCATATAAGGCGAGGCATTGGAAGATGCTTTACAAAAGGACCCCTTTTGGGCCTTATCCAACTCCATCCGTTGCTGCTGTACCTGCTTTGCGTACAAATCCCGAAGCTCCTCGTCTGTATCAACAACGCAGAGATCTGTCTCGCGAACAAGCACATGGTAAAGACCCTCAGGGGTATCGGAATAGCTCTGAAAGTCATAGTCCCGAACCGTGCTCTTCTTCATCGATTCCCCTCCAAGCATACAAGAACCAAAATGACTTCCACCACCGTTCGCCACTGCACACAGCGGATTTGATGAATGAGGTATGAAATTCAAGCCACCATTCTGTAGATGAGAAGACGGGCACTGCTGCCTTTGTTGCAGTCTCTCATCTTCCAGTTGTTTTTGATTAAATTTGTCAAACTCATCGGGTTCGTTTACCCGCAACGTATTGCAGAAGTAGTCACTTTCCGTCGACGCTTCAGCAGAGCGTGGTGCTCGCAGGTAGTACTTCGCAGTACGCCGGCTGCGAGCATTGTAAAGATGTTGAAAGAGTGTGCACTCAGCGCTCGGAAAGAAGGTAGAAGTAAGCGGAATAAGAATAATCTCGCTACGGCGATTACGGCCATGACGGTGACTGTAGAGACTATTCTGATGAGTTTCACGACTTGGTAAAGCACCCATTTTAATGGAAATTCAGCAAGTATAAAATAGTGAAGAATAAGAAAAAATAACGAATAGGAAAAAATCACGAGAGGCAATTTAGTTTAGAGCTACAAATGTATCTTTATAGCGAAATAACACCATTAAAATAAATTCGATTTTGTTATTGTCTATTATCTGCCTCAATAAGAAAAACAACAAAAATTTGAGATTTACCTTAGCAAATAGCCTCAAAAATATCTAATGCACTTTGGTTGTGCCTATATAATTGTTTAATGTAATGATATATGCTAGTGACTAATAATTGATCTTATTTTAGGAAAGCAACAAAGAATAAATGAATGGTAACTTTTATCGCATTGAATAATGAAAGTAAAAGCAACCCACCAATCCCCTATCTTTTGTCAATGATCAAATTTAGTAGATTATTCAAGGCGAGTGCGGTCCGAGGAAATTAACATGAATACTCAACTATCATTACTTTGTGATGCATAACGAGGAGGGGAGGGATAGTGATGTGGTAATTATTAGTTTTTAATAGAAAGTTGTAACGATCCGAAAAAGAAAATGTGACTTATTTTTTTTTTGAATGGGCATTTGTTTAAAAAAAAAGCGCAGCGATATCAGTCAAGACGATGTCTAAATCTGAAATCATAAGCTAATGACGAAGAGAACCTTCAAATTATTTACGACGAGGAATCCAATTGCAACCTTCGATGACATCGAAGGAGACCTGTGGGCGCATTCTAAAAGCAGGAAGGGTCGATGAAAGTAAAGAAGAAGCGGGAAATTTACGAGATATAACTGATACATGTCAGTTCCATGAACATCCTCCGTACTCAGAACAAAAAATGCTCCACTCTGCTGTTTTTGGTTTCCCTAATTATATTACCCCTTGCTTTGTATCTTACAAGAGGCACGGTCTATCCTCGGGGTAAAGTGAATGGCCTGCCCAACATATAGCCTACCCCTTCCTGCCTCTATCGCACCAAGCACCTCTCAGAAATGAATAAAACGCCAAGTCTCTTTTTCTCATCTGCTTTACCCGCAAAACTTACTCCGTAGGTGGTCGCCGTCAACTCGCGATCGGAAGATAGGCCGTCCTCCACCTCGGGGCTGGTGAATAGGCGGAGAGCCTTGCCCTCGTTGTCTTCGTCGTCACGAAGTAGTTCAGATATCTCTGTAAAAAGCAATTCGAACCCATTCGCGCCTCTCTTTGGCGCGTTCTCACCACCCTCTTGCATTGCTTTGACATTCTTTGAAGCATCCCTGCCTACTGCCCCCTATTCTCCGTACTCCAGGGGATCGCTCAAAGGAGCTCCAACCTCACTCGTCACCTCCACAAACTCATCCTTCCCTTACCAGCACCGCAACAACAGGTATATCACAACCATCTGACAGACCACAAGATGTGCTGGATTGGATAGCACCTCAAGAATAATAATAAAAACCTCCATAGTCCCAGCTGTGTACGCATCGCTCCTTCAGAAAGACAACAGATTGAGAAGTGGCCGCACGCACGGGCGATCCTCCTCATCAGATGCATACCATACATGAAGAAGAAGTACCTGAGGGGGAGAGGTATTGATGCCGCCATACTGGACTTCGCTGGCCACGAGAGCCTCTCAATCACCCGCTCTGGCAGGGGGTTCCCGATAGTAGCCGTTGAAGCGTATGCGAAATTCCTCCGGCCGCTATGGAGGTCACGACGCCGTCTGGAAAGCGCGCTCGCACGCGCGCGAACGTCAGGAGAGGACCCATCCGCACCCGGCGCATTCGGCGGAGCCGTTTACCTCTCTAGAAGTTACCACAGGCCTGAGTTCTAGCAAGGGGAAGGACTTTCTTTGTATAGCCCACACCAGTGGTAAACAGTTCCACATGAGCTCAGCCTCTAAGAGGGTGTTATTGGCATCCTCGAAATCACGCTCGATGGTGTTCACCCAAGACAAGCGCCCCCAACTCTAGTGATCCCAAAGGTAATCCTACTTTTGGAGGATGCACCGCCTCGGTGTGTGTGTGCCGCTTTACTGGAAAAAAAATATCAAACAAGGATGAGAGGAAAAGTTGTGATGGATAAAATTTATGATAACAACACTAAATGAGTCATGCGAGATTCACGTGATGCCTGTGGCGTTGTATAATTGCATTTTGTTACATGAGGATTCATAAATCCAGTATAAATATCAAAGAAATTAATAGTTTTCCGTTCTTTAATTGGGCCCTCTTTAAAGTTGAACGCATCATTGTATCTCCTGAAGTGTCAAACTTCTTCATATTGATTATGATTCGAACAGGTCTGTCGAACTTCAAAACTATGTATTAAGTCATGTATTTAGAGGAGAAGCTTTAATCCGTGGGTCAATGGACCTATTCCTGAACCACTCTATGTAGTCATATCCCCACAACCTAACGCATAAAAGGTTGACTACCAAAACTCAGCATTTCTCTGCGATTTCCTACCCAACACAGACAAGTGATTAGCAATAACGCAATGTGGTAAATAACCCCATTATATATTTCTTCGATCGTGTTCCTTATATAAAAAAAAAGTGATTACCGTAATTATTTTTTACCTGCTTTCCATATTTACTAGCAGTTAAGTTTGTTAGTACATGGAATGAATACGTATATATATATATATATATATATTTATATTTATATATATGCATATATAGGTGTACATAGATATACATAGACATAGATGGTTAGATAAATGTAGATATGGGTAGGTATGTGTATATGTATTAACATAAAAATAATGATAACAGTCCTGAGTTGCAGTATAACAGCAAGACTGCGTTACAAATCATGCATAATGAGAATTCTTGGTCACAGAATGCATAATGAGCAATTTTCGGAAACCCCTCCTCTCTCTATCCCATCTTCACAAATCTAGAAACCCCCCATACACCCCAACTGTGATCTCCGTTATTCCTGATTCCCTATATTCACCGACTTGATTAGGCGCCAATCCCACACGTATTTCGTCTTTTCCATATACCGCTTTGGGGCCTGTGTCAGCGAGAGGTAAGTGCAGGAGCGCCCACCCTCTTTGGAGGCCACGCTATCCATCTCCAGCAGCCCCATCAAGCCTCGTGGGATGTGAGGGGGCTCGCAGCTGGAGCCCGTTGGCGAGGATGGAAGCTCCACCCCGCAAGAATGCTTCCCGCTCGTCGTCGTTGTTGCGGTTGTTGTTGTTGAACTGCCCCTACACGGGGCGAGGTTCATCGTGCGGGGGGTGGAGGGGTGATTCGAGGAGACCGACCATCCGTCGACGTAGGGAGGGGGGGGAGCGGGGTCGGCCAGGTAGGTCGTCTTCACTAAAGGGGAAGGCCCCATGGAGAGGTCGTGGGCGTAGCAGTAGAGGTTGAACATGAGTGTCCGCGGCGTCTCTAAGGCCGCGGAGGTGACGCGATTGATGAGGTAATTCGGCAGGGCTGGAGGGGGGGAAACGGGGGATCCACTCCCCCCGCGGCGGTTGCCCGCGCTCGACGTGGGAGCGTTGTGGAAGGCGGCGAGCACCAGATCCGTCATCGGATCATCCTCGATGCTGCGAGGATCCGGAAATAACACGTTAAACATTTGTTTTGGACTATGTCCGTTCATCGAAGGCGAGGTTCTCATTTTGTGATGGGATGATTCCCGCTGCTCGGTGGAAGCTTTCGGGGGATAGAGGATCTTGCTCACGATAGTCTTGTCGGCGTTAGCGGGGGCGCTTAAAAGAGCCAAGGGCGAGGGCTCAGACGCGGTGCTGATCCCAAGCGAATACAAACAAGCAAGCGTCATAAGCTGCTTTTTATTCGGGTTGGCGAAATCGGGGACGGTGCCGTGGTAGTACGTCGTTCCGTTGCATTCAAAGCGGTAGACGAAAAAATTACCCCTCAACTCGTGCACGAGGGTGTATCGCCCAGGATGAGCCTCCATCACCGCCGCTTGCTCGGGGCTTGGTGGGGATACCGGGAACTTGACGCCGCCCGTCATCTGCAGCTCCTTTTCGACGCGAACGAGGCGTGTAACCCAGCCGGGATGCTTCGAATCGGACTCCCGCGCCTTTTTACAGTACGGCCGCATCACCACCAGAATCACCCCCTCCAGAGGGATGGAGTGGTCGCCCAGCCAGACCTGCTGCGTGGTATCAAAGCGGAGGATGTCGCCCTCGTCGAACCCCCGAATCACGTCGCGGCCCATCACGTAGACGTCCTGAGGATGAATCGTCGTCAACGAATTCGGCAGGGGCGGGGGGTGGGCGCGGTCGACGAGGCCGCGGTATCGCCAGCAGCTGGCCTCCTCGCTCGCGAGCTGCGGTAAGGTGTGCTTTCGAAGCACCTCAGGGTGCTCCGCTAAGGACCAACACAACCGCGCGGCGAGGGCGCCGGAGATGCGGCAGTGGAGCATCTGATTCGCCGTGATCCACATCTCGATCTCCTCCGCGACGTCCTGGCCGTCCTCGCCTTCTCCCTCTCGTGTGATCTGGGGTGGGGTTGATGTGCTCGAGATCAAGTTGGAATGCGCGGCCGGGGTGGTGGATTTGAGCACCCCAAGATACCCCCACCGGCTCCGCATCTCGTACAAAAACGACAGCGCGGGAACGCTCGTGAGGAGGGTGGAGAAGCTGAACGTCTCCATCGGCGGGAGGTAACTCGCCGAGGGCGAGGACCCCGACGTCGTGGAGGAAGGGATGGCGTAGGGTGGTGGCGGGAGCTCCTCCTCTCCGGAGGAGGTCGCGCTGTGATAAGGGTGGGGAGCGCTGCCACTCGGGCGAGGAAGATTCGGCCCTCGCGCGATCACCCCTGCGTGGATCATCTGAAAATAATACGTCGAGGCGGCGACGTAGACCACGTGAGAGAGCCGCTGCTCGCTGGCCGATTTCGTGAGAAAGACGATCGACGCGAGGGGGGCGGCGACGGAAGGGGGCAAGGTTAAATCAACCATCTTACTCGTTCCCCCTCGAAGCGCTTTGATCTCCGTGCGGGGATCGTTCAAAGGGTGCCTTCCACCTTTCGGCAAGGAACTTTGCAAGGGCGTAGAAGGGGAATACCGACAGGTGCGCGGGCCGGGTTGCGTCGCCGACGCGATGGATCCCAGGCGCATGAAATAATCCTCCCGCAGCACCGCGTCGACCTCGTCCTGGATCGGGGTGAACCCGAAGCACCCGACGACGTTCACGGTGTAGTTGCTCCTCCGGCTCGTATTCACGCCCCGGACGGAGCAGGTGGGGTAGGAGGAGAGCATCACCGGCTTCCCGGAGCCCTGGACGGGCTCCCCACCGGTTGGGGGTTTCCGCGCCTCACGGAGAAACGCCACGGCGCACATCACGGGAAGCACCCGGGAGGGTTTGGCGTTGCCCACGCGATGGGTGCCGTGGGCCCGTTCCCGCGCGGACGCCGCGCGCATCTCCTGATCGGTTTCAAAAAGCGTCTCCTCGTTGGACTCGATGACGCCCCGGTATAAGGCCTCCCGGGAAGGGTAAGGGTCCGTCTCCACCTTCGCGGCCGCCCACTCCTCCGCGAAGCTCGTGAAGGGGTTGTAGCAAGGGGTGGTCGGCTCGGAGACCTCCTCGGCCTCGACGCCCGGGGCCCTCCGGCCGCCTTTGGGGGGGCCCCCATTCCACCTCGCCCCCCCGCCCGACGACGGCTGTCGAGAGGCCGCGTGCTGGTCGAGGGCCTTTCCCTTCCCGTCGCCCTCCCCGCGGTGCGCGCTGGCGTAGTCTGGGATCCGGCTGAGATCGCCAGGGTTGCCGGGGGAACGGAAGTAATAGTTCACGGAAGCATCGCAGCGCGCCGCGTGAAACTGCATGAATAACGGGCAGTCCGGGCTCGGAAAGAACTCCCGCGTGAGAGGAATCAAGACGACGTCTTGTCGTTTATTGTCGGCATATTGGGGGACGATAAGCAGTCCACGGCGGTGTGTTGCCCGGCTAGGAGCTGCCCCATTCGATTTACCACACAAAAACGTAAGTGTTCAAAGGAATAGCAAAATGAAGAAAGAAATTTAAAAAAAAATGAAAAAAATTTGAGTACAGAAAAATTCAAAATGGGAACGAAGCAACAAAACTGAAAAGTGTATGCGATTCGAAAAATTACAAAAGTGACTTAATAAAGCCTTTGGATATAGTAAGTACAAAAACAAAATACACCCTCAAGACTCCCTATTATACGTTCAAAGAGTTGAAGATGGAAAAAGCGCTTACCGATTATGTTGTCCTTTAGCGTGAACAATGAAAATAAATAAGATCGAGAAGAATAAGTCGTTCGCAAACAAAACACGAAGAACGGAAATTAGTGAAAATATCGGTAGAAGGTTTTGTATATTTATAATCAACACAGTATGTAATCCTTTCTTAAATGTAGAGCTCCAAGTTGATGTTGAAAAAAAAACGGGCTACCCTCATCATTGAGGCCAGAGCATTCACATGATGAATACCGTAAAGCAGTGTTAAGTTGATAACACAAATGGAAATTAGACAAAACATATTCTAATGCTACTATCCATATAAGCAAACAAACAACAACCCACAGCCTTCGTCCTGCAATACTGCTAATCTCAAAGCCCTACATCACTCGTGCGCACACACAGAACTCTCTCTTCCTCAAGTTAATTACCCAAAGCTAAAGATATATCCGATATCTAGATCAAGAAGGATACATCCAGAGCGCATCGATAAGCAGAGTACAGTATGTAGGGCTAGTATTCTTTAAAATAACGCAATATCATTCGCTCGCCCAAGCGTGTGTTGCCAACCCATTGAATTGCTTGGGCAGAGCCCAATTCCAAGTTTTCCGGTCGTGAGCTTCATGATGGAATTGATAGTGCTCAGCGAACCTTCTTTTAATGTATCATCTCGGTAAGGGGGGAATACCATCGTTAAAACAGCATCGAAAAGGTTTTCGAATCGTAATGTCCTGTCGGTGAGGGAGAGGGGGATATTTTGTTGTTGTTAGTTTAGTGAAATGTGGTTACATCAGAAAAGTAGCCCCATTGCTTAGAGAGGGTCATGCACCTGAAAAGGCTACACTTCAGCTATTGGGGCACTATATACAGGTATACGCAGAACATTTCAAGTCGATAAAACTGCAATGAAAATTCACAGTTGGTGCTTAAACTTACGCTGTGAATAAGGGGTTAGCAACAAAATCATAGTGGGCGTTGTATACCTCGCAGAAGGGGTGTCCCCACCTCTATCAGCACTCACACAACCTCACTTATCAGCATTCAGATCATTGAGGAAATATGCAAAAAAAAAAAATGCGATAGCTTGAGGAACCATAAAATTTCATTTTCTCCTTTTGAAAATATAGAAGAACCCGATGGAATGTTTCATTATAGGATATGAGGATCTTTGTTACTGAGAATACATGCAAAGTAAAAGGAGAAGTATATATCAGTGCATCACTGAATGCGGAAAGTAGATCGGATTCCCATGTATCCCTATCCTTCTAGTGCTCCTTGCACCCATCCCAGACGGCAATTAACGATCTTTTTCACTGTCTGGGGAATAAGTAGGTATTAAAAAGAATTGTGTTCATTATAATATTAAATAATGAGAATAACTGCAAGTAGACTATATATATATATATATACATATATATATTTGGTCACCTTTTTTTCAGTTAACGCTTTACGTGAATCTGTACACTATGTAGCCATAGGAGCCAAGCAAAAAGCAGGAATATGTTTTAGGAGATAAAGTTATGCTAAATGTCAACATAAATATTCGTGCCTATATAACTAGGTAAAAAAAAATAATAATAAAATACTAAAATTAATGATATTAAAATAATGATGCCTTGATTTTGATGCTCCTCATTTCCTCTTCCTCTAGAATAGATTAATAATTTGGGGATAGCGTAATGAAAAAAGTGTTAAAACAGCATGAATATTGTAATTAATAATAATAATAGTAATAACAATAGTAGTAGTAATAGTGATAATAGTAATAGTGTTTTGAGACCTCAATATCATAAAAAAAATATTATACGAAGATATCTAAAAGTATACGTACTTACACATATGCCACAAAAGCGCAAAGCTAGAAATCATTCTAGGATCCCTTTCCCTTTTTCTTTCCTATTTGGTTATGTATCTTCGAATTTTTGATGTTTTTTTTTGTGTGTCCATTACCAAACATCTCTTCTTGTATGTTTGCATCCTCTCTTTTCCCCACCGCATTATATAAATTTCAATAAAGCACATGTTAATAACAATAAAATCATGCATCAATCTCATTATTCATCTAAATTCACATTGAAATAAACACATAGATTTAGAAGTGTTAATATATATAAATAAATATACATATATGTAATTATTTATTTATTTATTTATATAGTCATGTTGATATGTTAATTTATTTATTTATAGATAGATAAAAAGGGAAGAAATATGGAGCTGGAAACACGTCGGAAGAGACGTTGAACGAAGGTTTAGTGAAATCGTGGAAAGTGCTTGGACTCCACATTCTATGATAGCCTCGGAACCAAGGCTGATCAACATCTAAGAATAGTAAAAGAGAAATAATAATCCACAATCGTTTTTGATACACGTTCCGAAGATAATGGTGATCATTTAACCTCCGTTTGACTGATAAGTTCCAAAATTTGTGTGAAAAAAGACAGAGAAATAAAATATTTTTTTTGCTCTGTATCTATGCAGTGTTTCCCAACTCGTTGGGCAGCAATTTATTTTCGATTTGCTTCTTCAATATTTAGTCCCCGCACTTGAGCATAATGCTGAATTAAAGAGTACCACGTGAAATATCAGGATGTATGAATAGGTATGAATTTTTGGATTAAATTTTCTTCCGTTTTCTACTAGGAAATGGTTTACCATTCATCCTCTGTTCATGCTGGTAAATGCTTAAATTTCAAAAAAAAATGGCAAAAACTATTGCTCTTACATCATTTTTGTATTTTTTCTCGCATTTAAAAAAAGGAAAGGAATTATTTAAGGGCAACGAATCTATTTTTTGGAATTTAAAAGCGGAATCCTTTAATAATTCAATTAAATTCGCCTTAATTCTCACTTCCCAACCTGACAGTTGTTATTTTTTTTTATCACAGTTTGCCCATTAAGCGGCCTCCTGAGAATGGTGTTTAAAAAAGAAAAAGGTGATTATGGATCAGCGTGGCTCATATATAAGGAGAGGATAAATATGGGGGAAAGAAGCATTAAGAGAAAAACGATATATTCAATACAACCTGATCGTAGAATAGTAACCCATTATACCATTTAGCAGCATCTTGGCTGCGATACCCCATCATAAGGTTGAAAGTTAGAAATAAACCAACTAACAAAAAAAATAATAATAAGGTAATGTATAAATATTTTTAGGTGTTGCAACATTAATATTCATGTTACATTGTCAAGAAAACAATGTATGCCAAGTAGGCGAACAACATTACCGTTTGTTCAGAGTAGTATTAAATATGAATGGAAAGGGTTTCGGCATTTAGCCAGACTGCAGTGGACCACGCTGTGGTGTGATGATGCGTGGTGTAGCACATTAAGAACTAAATAGGAACACACATAACTGCGAACGTCATTAAAAAAATCACCATAGTATAAATGGGGAAAAAAACAGAAAAAAAAAATAGTTTACTCATGATAGGATTCATCATCCAGAATAAACAACTGTGGACCCCTCCGCGGTCTCACTGGGGTGGTTGAAACATGACCAATTGGAGCGGAAATTGCGATGGCATCAGGGTAGGGTACGCGCACACCGCCGACGACGATAGCTCCGACGGCACCACCACCGACCCCCCAGCTAAAGAAGAAGATCCCGGCGCGAGATATGACGGCATCGCGGGCGTGAAGCTGAAATACGTGGGGGCGGCAAACCCCTCCATTTCCCCTGCCGCCTCCGCGTAGGCCCTCGACGGGGACGCGCCGGGCATCGACACCGTCGTTGGGAGGGCTGCCGGGAAAAGCACTGGGGGCTGCCCATGCGGAGGCATCTTTAGCAGCGTAAATTGCACGGAAGAGGGCTGAAAGGCCACCTCATAAGGGGCAGAAGGGAGGGAAACCAA